TTTTTCCTCCTTTTTTTTTTTTTTGCATGATTCAAATAAATCATAATTATCACCATCAGATTATTAACGTTTTTAGCTAAGCGTCCATTATAAAATGGGATGTAAATAAAGCGTAAATTTGGAATTAAATCATCTATAGTTCACAAGCTGCTCTAATAAACCTTTAAACAATAAGTAGACATAGTTAAAAACATCATACTCTTTTATTAAGTTGTTAATTTACCACGATGAGACAAAGTCCATAAAGAGGGATCTGTTCGTCTATGATTTCCTGAGTTAATTATATCATAATCACACAAGTCCAACCATCCATTCGTGCAGAATTAAAAAAATTGCTTCATTCATTAATCTCAATTATAACCACTGATTTGATTTATTAATTATCGTATAGGTGCTGTCTCCTTCTGGTATTGAAAAATTCCACTTCGCCAGCTAAGACAACTTCAGATAGACATGTACTTGCAGACAGAAATGTAGAAAAGGATATAAGAAGATATATAATAAAGAGGATGGTGGTTGTATTTACCCGTGGCATGATACTAAACTATGTCATACCCATCTCATGACTAAAAGGATTAATAAATAACAAATGATAGGAACACTGTTGGACAAATTATGTGTGACAGGTTAACTAGGTTGATGAGAGTGCCCCACGCTTCGATCACATACCATTGATCACAGCTGCAACCTGCAAGAAAATGACTAGTGATAAATGAAATTAGACGAAACCATGGAATACCCAATACGGAAAAGGGCCACTCATTATACTTTGAGTTAAAATATACCCCGTCGTTATACTATTGGTTCAAATATACTTATTTTTTATTAAATTTGGCCAAATTGGACATCCAATCATATATGACACTGACATTTGATGATGTAGATGCCACATGACTTGCCACCTCAATCTCATTAGATTGATCATCATGTTTCTGCTGTGATTAATTAGAGCATTAAAGGAAATTAGTGCTGCAGACATCACTGTTTTCCAAATAGCGTTGAGTTTCTTATCAGTGCCAATTTCCAGGCCAAAGACAAGCAAATGGTCTTTGGTCACAAGATTGGTCTTTAATTTGATGAGATCAAGAAGCTCTCTTCTTAATGTCATGTCATGCCAAGGACTTCTCGCAGCTGATCTTTCATCTTTGAATCCTCCATTAATGACAGAATATAAGGATCCATCGTACTCTATAGAGAATCAGGTTCTTTATCAGTTCCACTAGAATACACGCACATAACAGTAAGTAAATGACAAGACCAGCTCAATAGGATCAAAAACCACGACCTACCCTTTTAAGATTTCAACTTCACTACTGAGCAACTTTTAGATTACAACCTATGCAACCTAGGAATTAACCTCTTAATCCTTTACTAACTTGTAATACTCTAAGCCACTTTGTAATAACTCTATTACATAGACTTTACAACTCGACTAACTCTAGTCAAGACTCAAACACGAAGGTTTAAGGTTTACAAAGAGTTTCCTACAGAGTACTTCTAAACAAGCTAAATAGGAATTACAATTGAAGGACATACAATGACTTGCTATGGGGAACTGGTCCGTAGTAGTGTTGTTCTTTGTTCTTGATGCACTTGAGAATTACTTGATGGATTATTACGTGAGAGAGCTTGAGTGAATTCTCTAAAAGTTCAAGTGACTTTGTTTTACCTTCATTTTCATTAATAAAACATGTGTGACATCACTTACAATGATGTAAGCAAGGTAGGTAAAAAACCTTCCACAGAAAGTTGACTGCTGCACTATTCCTGTACAGTAGCGTGTGCCGGCAGCAACTTTACAGCTGGAGAGTTGACTTCGTACAGTTGCCTAGGGAGCTGGTAGAGATCTATTCCCTCAGCTGTTCCTTCAACTCTGGAGATTTGAACCATATCCCAAGCTGGAGCCTTGTGATCTTAAGTGTCTTAAGAATGTGTAACAGGTTCCTTATCCGGTTCTTGGTAGTAATTTTGTTAGATCATTAAAATATAAAACAAGGTACTTGTAAATAGGATACTTGTAACCTATCAATTTAAATCCCAAAAAGAGCTACACAGAACTAGACAACAAACTAGAAAGACCTTAAGTTCCTCCTGAATCTCTGCATTCCCCCTTAATCAATGCACATCACAATTATGCAACTATTCCTCTCACGGTGCACATCACAATTATGCAATTATTCATTTCCCTCTTTTTGATGATGACAAACTCATAATTGAAAATCGAGAAAGAGCTACACAAAACCAGACAGCAAACCAGAAAGACCTTAAGTTCCCCTGATTAAGTTCCCACTGAATCTCTGTATTCCCCTTAATCCGTGCACATCACAATTATGCAATTATCCCTCTCAGTGCACATCACAATGCACCCCCTCAGTGCACATCACAATTATGCAATTATTAACATGGAACCAAGAATTATAGGATTTGCATATGAATTTCAACTGTACATAAGTACACGTAATACAATAAGAAAACATATCTAGATAAATGTGATAGTTTATACTCAATGTTTATTGGATTTGAATCGGTGGAAGATGTATGTTCAATGTTGTATCTGCTGGATTTAGCCTCAATGACTTAATACCCTTGCAGTCCTGTTAATATAGTTGTCATTTACCAATTGCAACTGTACTTTTTACCATTTTTTACCGCTTTAGGGAAGAAGATATTTATAGCAAGGTAATGACTAATTATTGTCATCTTATTGAAATAGAACACCAGGAGAAATTTTTAATTCAATTCATAAGATCAATTGGGGTAAAAACAAGCCAAGAGGGAAGGAAATAGAAGCTGCCCAGTACCGACCTGTAGCATTGTATATACTCCACCAGAAACCTCAGACTTACCTATTTCTAATTGATAATTAAAAACAAATGATTGGTGCAAGTAAGATTAAAGTACGTTTGGCAAAAATAAAAACGTGTTATGTAAGAGTCCACTTCATGTTACCTGTGGGTGGCAGGGAACATAAGAAGAACAAGACACTCGTGCACAGCTATTAAAAAATCATACCACCTTCTTCCATTATATGTCTTAAGCACCACAGCTATTTAAACTTGACATTTAATGTTGAACACGAATTTCTTGAGCCGACGCGCCATTCGTGTGCCAATTTAAATATTGGCTAACTCTCCCAACGATACCGCGTCAATGGATGCACATGGTAAGCATCTTAATTGCTATATATCCGGTAGCAATGGCACAATGCTTGGGCAGCCAGGAGGGAGCTGACCTGTAACTGAAGCCACATATGAAGGCAAAGTCACATTATTTTTTCGATTCCACGACATTGAAGACTAAAGAAATGACAACTGATTATAGCCTTTGTTTGCCAAATGAATATCAGATCACCAAATTCAAAGGCATACCCACATGGCCACATTATAATCACATGCTCAGCGTCCCACTTTTGTGCCTGACTACCTATATAAATAACCTTGATTTGATGTTCATTGCTCATTAGGAAATTTAGTCTCTTCTTACAAAGAAAGAAGTGAAACAGAAATTGCCATGGCTACTTTTCCTTTTTCAAAAATCAAGCCCTTTCGATCAATCAGTTTGCCTGTCAGATCACACCCTACCACTCAAAGAGTTGAAGAGGTGCTCAATAAGCTCAATGGGTTGGAGACATCAGTTGCACCAACAGCAGAAACAATCTGTAACAGTTTACTCGGTTTGGAGGAGTTACAAAAGTGTATGGATGATCTTCTTAACTCGCCTCAAACTCTTCAAATACTTTCCCAACACCAACAGGGGAAATGGTTTGAGGAGTTACTGCAAAAATCAGTTAGAATTCTTGATATTTGTGGCGCTACAAGGGAAATTGTCTCTCAATATAAGGAAAATGTTAGAGCTCTTCAATCCTCACACAGAAGACGAAAAGGAGATTCCAGTACAGAAGCTGGAATCACAAGATTCACCACTTTCAGCAAGAAAATGAAGAAGGACGCCAAAAGATTAGTCTTGGCTCTGAAGCAAGTAGATTGTGAGACTTTCACCTCAGCATTCCTGGAAGCAGATCAGGAGACAATAGCTGTGATTAGAGCACTAAGGGAAGCCAATGGAGTTTGTATTTTGGTTGTCCAAAATATCTTGTCCTTCTTGTCTGTGCCACTTTTGAAGCCAAAGCAACCAAAATGGCCATTGGTTGCAAAATTGACAAACAACGGAAGAAGAGAACAAGAAGGCCTAGAAAACAGCACGAACTTGGAAACAAGATTGGAGACTTTTGAGGCTCAACTTGACAGCATCGAAAAGGGATTGGAGGGAACATTTAGGGGCCTGATTAGATCAAGAAGCTTGCTCCTGAATGTTTTCTCCTGCTAATCTGGATGTTTTTACTCCATTAACTGTATAGTTCACCATATTCTGTACATGAACAATTTTTAAATGTTATACTCCAAACTTCTTGTATCTTTTGCTCTGTCTGGCTTATCTGACTCCCTTCTTCCCCTAGCTAAGAAACATCAATCGGATGTGATATGCATCTCACGGGTTACAACTCAGAAGACAGCTTAAAGTTTCCTGAACAGAACTTATAAAACTTACTTGAGTTTTGGATTTTCCAACAAGATGTCTATAGTAGATGCATTTTTCTAATAACAGACTTTCATTGTATCCTGTGAATTGATTCAATAAATTAATTTAGCAACTATGTGTTACCCCATTACTGGCACAATGAAGTACTCCCTCCGCTCCACAATAAATGACTATTTTATCTTTTTATTTTGGTCCAAAATAAGTGCCCATTTACATAATCAAGAAGGAAATAATTTATTTTTCCAAAATTTGCCCTTATTTACATATTCCAATGTGTCAATGTAACAATTAATTAAGGTTAATTTAATGAATAAATCTTTTTTCTCTAGGAATTCGTATTTCCTTAATGGGTGTGACAAAGGTAAAATAGTCACTTATTTTATGGGGACACGAGGGAGTAATTGTTTAAAATTATTCTTAAACATTTAGAGATAGACCAGGGAAAATGAAAGAAATTATTGGTTTATAAATGTCACGACCCCATTTTCCCTCCGTAGGATGTCGTGACGGCACCTAGTCTCTAAGACTAGGTAAGCCTAACAATTACCAAATAACTGAATATTAAGCTGAAACTCAAATCTCAATATCTGAAATAAATAAAACTACAATTCAAAATGATTACAATTCCCAAAATCCGGTAAAAATAAGTCACAAGCTTCTAAGAGAAATACTAAATGTCTTTGTACATTAGAGTGAATATAAGGGAATACAACATCAAAAAGATAGAGGTGGACTTCGAGGTTTGCAGATGCTGGCAGATATACCTTGAAGTTTACACGTAATCACTGCTCACTGATAGCAAGGTTGGTAGGAGGTACCTGAATCTGCACAAAAAGATGTGCAAAAGAGTAGCATGAGTACACCACAACGGTACCCAATAAGTATCAAGCCTAACCTCAGTAGAGTAGTGACGAGGTCAGGTCATAACCTTACTGGAATAAAAGAAACAAGGCAAATGAGCTAATATATTATGATGAAATAACTGAGAATTAAAAATGAAAAATACAGACTGAATACAAATCAAGGAAACAAGTAATTCAATTAAGCATGTTGCACAAATTGCAAGTAAGAGTTTAAACAAGTAGGCATGCGACATTAGGCTAAACATGATGACTACACAGGCTAGGGCATCTCACTTAAGGAATTAAAAGAGAACTACTCGGCAAGAACCGGATTTTTCAACATATAACCCGTGTACGCACTCGTCACCTGATAAGTAGGGATTTTGATCGCTTAATTGCTCTCTTTTACTTGCGTTTTAGCTCAAAAATGCTTAAATGTATTCCCAAAAACTAACGAAATGTGCTTACTTGCAGGAATATTGGGAAACAAGCCAAAGAAGGCAAAATCAACTCATAAAAGAGTCAAAAGTGAACAAGAGCCAAAACTGGGCAAAGAGGATAGCAATGCAGACTGCACAATTCTAGTGCGGCCGCAGAATGAGATTCAGAGATGAGGTTTTAGCCATCTCTGACAGTGCGGACCACACCAAAAATGTGCGGCCGTAGGAGATCAAGTGCAGCCGCAATCATTATTACGTGGTCCGCAAGATTGAAGATTCAGGGAGTTGTCCCAAGACCAAAAGCAGAAGAGTGCAGACCGCAACACTTTTGTGCGGCCGCATAATCAGAAGTGCGGCCACACCTACTTTTATGCGGACCGTAGAAGCCTGAAAGTCCAAGCCCAAAATTCCCAAGACTGCGGACCGTACTAGAATTGTGCGGCCGCAGAAATCCATTTTGCGGCCCGCATTAGAATTATGCGGTCGCACAACCTCCGTAGGGGCATTTTTATCAAATATTTTCAGCTTAGTATAAATACAATTTTTGTCATTTTTAGGTAAAATTTAGTTTGCAAAGGTGCACCTTAGCAGTTTTCTTTACTCCTTGAGTAAATTTGTATTAGATTAACCTCTTAATAGTAGATTATGTTTGTTTAATTAATGATTATGCATTCTACCTTAATTTCTTCTTGTATTTCTTCATTTTTTATGAGTAGCTAAATCTTTAGCTAGGGTTGTAGCTCAACCCTAGTGTGGATACTTAATGGGTATTGAATTTTAGGACTTGTTTGTAATTGGGTTAGTGATATCAAGCTTTGTTTATGCTTAAATTCTAGAATTAATAGTTGCAAACATTGATTCATGCCTTTTTGACCTAGTTTTTGCTTGAGAAAGAGAGACTAGGTTTAGGAAAAATTGGCTAGCAAGGAACTGAGGTGAATTCAAGAAATTGATAGACCCAATTAAAGAGTCAAATCTAGTGATAGTAAGACCCGACTTGAGTATATATGTCACGACCCAAAATCCCAACCCGATCGTGATGGTGCCTCTCGTGAGGACAAGACCGGCCAATCAACAAAACAGTATATCTCTTTATAATTACTTAGCAGGAATAAGTCTAAATCATGGGCAATATAATCTTAAATGCGAAATAAACATGATAGAACAAGAAAAACTATCCCAACTCAGCCCAAAATCGGGGTGTCATGAGTCATGAGCTACTACAAAGTTTACTAATATTTTACAAAGTCTGAAATTATCATAAATAACAAAGATAAGGGAGAAAACGGGGCTGCGGACGTCAACAGCTACCCCGTTACTCCTAGTCACCGCCTGGTCTGGAAAGAATCAGCGCTCAGGAGCGAACTCAGCTCTGCCTGTATCTGCATACATGGTGCAGGGAGTAATGTGAGTACTCCGAC